TTGCCGATCGAATATGATTACTATACTTACGAATTTTAGGCCTGTAGAAGGCATTGTACAAACTATAAAAACGGTTTGTCATGACTATTATAGACGTATTCTACACCTACAGATCGATGGAGATCTGTTAAAAAAACTTTTCGCAAAAGTGACGTTGACAAATTTTTCAAGACCAAACTTTTTTACGATATCATCGTATTCCACACATCGAGAAGAGCAAACTTGCAAAAGGAACGATACATTCCAAAGCAACCGTTTCGTTATAATTTAATGTTGAACATTTGCCGACTGAATTCCATTTATAGTAACTTATCCAGGGTGTGTCACATAACTGTCGCTAAAATTTTTCAAGCACTTCCGAACAAAAAAATGTTTCGAATGAAAGTTATTTAGTATTCAATCGGCCACATATTAAAGAAAAGCAAATTTCAAAAATTATTGTTTTTCTACTAAAAGTCAAGGTCACCTTGACTGTTTTAAATGGCATCCTGTATTTGTGACATTGTAGGGTTATTGTTGATGAAAAAATGAATGCAACGACCTACTATACTACGACGTGCAGACATAATGTTTGAGCATTATACAGGGTGTTCCACAATTATTTTAACAGCCGAAAATGANATGAAAGTTATTTAGTATTCAATCGGCCACATATTAAAGAAAAGCAAATTTCAAAAATTATTGTTTTTCTACTAAAAGTCAAGGTCACCTTGACTGTTTTAAATGGCATCCTGTATTTGTGACATTGTAGGGTTATTGTTGATGAAAAAATGAATGCAACGACCTACTATACTACGACGTGCAGACATAATGTTTGAGCATTATACAGGGTGTTCCACAATTATTTTAACAGCCGAAAATGAGGGGTAGCTGAGGTCATTTGAAGTAACATTTTCCGTTGCGAAAATGCAATCTGCGGCTTTGTTTACGAGTTATTAACGGAAAACACTGACCAATGAGAGGTGACGGCGCGAAGTTCGAGAGCCCGCAGCACGATACTTTGACAGATGGTCGGGACGGACTCGAGCCGCGTTCGAAGTATTGAACAAATCACGAAGCGAGAACTTTCCGGATTTTTTTTTACTACGTAACAGTGATATTTTTAAGAAATAAACTTACTATTTCGGGTCCGAAAAATTAGTAATTATTCTTCAGACGTTCTAAAGTAAAGGTGGACAGCGTTTTTCTTAAAAATATCACTGTTACGTAGTAAAAAAAAATCCGGA